TGTTTCTATACAATTTCATGATTTTTATTACACCGATTGGAATAAGATTTTTATTCTTACGTTCTTGCTCGAATTCTCGTAATATTCTGCGGGGGTACTTTGTTTGATTCTTCCATTTCGTTTGATTCTTCCATTTTGTTTGATTGTTTGGTGCTGATTCAATTTGGTGTCTCGATCCAAGTTTCTTTCATTACAACGAAGGTTTGTTTTGATTTGTTCAACATTGTGTCGATGCATATACCACATTTGTTTCGGTGACACTGATTAATATAAGATTTTCATTTTTACGTTTCAACTTAAATTCTTGTAACATATTGCTACGAGACTCTGTCCAATTCCCTTTAGTTAGGTGATAGATCATTTTTAAGTGTTTATTAAATTTCCTTCCATATCTCACTAATATAAATATGAGTTTTGATTTCAGTTTAAATTTGGATTAATCGCAAGGACATCGAGGGAGGACGACGCAACCGCTGAGGGGCTTTTAATTCCAAGTTGATTAGTTTTTAAGCTTCGTCGCGAGTATTAAAATTAACGTCGAAGCCTTCTTTATTATACGTGTCTCCGCGTCCTACCAAGCAATTATTCAATAAGTAGCTTCTCCCTCGCTCGTTCCCCCGTTCCTAGCTTCGATCGCCGCTGTTTCATCGATTGAAACATGTGATCGGCCGTGTATCTGGTCCGAAAGATCTAATCGCCTTCCCATTGGTAGCTCGATCCAGGGAAAATGGTACTTTGCTGGAAGGTGTGGAGTTTCCGTATCCTGCGGAAACGCATACCTTCCAGCGAAAGTCGACACTGTTTCAGAGGTACTCTCTCTTTGTCAGACAACTTGAGTCGGGTCCTTCGGGCTCCCGGCGGGTTGCGTTGGAGCAATGGAGACCTTAGATTCGGAGTCGCAGCCGTCCGTTATCCTGTAGAGATCTAGTTAGCAAGGGCAGTAGGTTCGATCCTCGGATCCGCTGCACGGTTCAGCTTCGCGTCGCGTCGTGTCGCGTCGCGTGTCCCTCAAATTAACTTCGTCCCTCTTTTTAACCGAATAATTGCTTGGTACAACTAAAACAGAACATCCAAGGAACTTTGTTTCCTTCTATCGTCCGAATTTTAGTTTCAACTTGACTAGACTTGAGCTTCGACGTTAATTTTAAGTCCCTATTGTATGCGTCTCCCAATATTGCCAAGTAATTAGTTAACAAGTAGCTTCTCTCGACTCGTTCTCTGGTTCCTAGCTTCGATCACCGCTGTTTCATCGATTGAAACATGTGATCGGCCGTCTAGTTTGTCCGAAAGATCTAGTCGCCTGCCCATGATAGATCGATTGCTAGAAATAGAAATCAATCTACCAAGGGCAGTGTTGGTTCGATCCGAAGATCTGCTGCACGGTTTAGCATCGCGTCGCGTCGCGTATCCCATAATTTAGCTTCACCCCTTTTTAAACAGAATAATTACTTGGTACAACTAAACTAGAAGATCGAAGGAACATTGCTTCCTTCTATCTCTCTAGTTTAGTAATCCAGCTAAGCTTAGCTAAAAGGGAGATCGATGGAACTTTGATTCCATCTATCTCCCTTCGGGTCTCCACTCGTAGCAACCTCCACGTGGTGAGACCTGGTAATCGATGTTACCCACGATAAAAAGCTTTTCTATTGTGGGTAACACCGAGCTAATGGCTGCGAATTTAGAATTGTTTGTAGATATAATAAACGAATCTAGATTTATAGTTAGGCAGATCATTTTTATTTGCAAACAAATTCTTTTGAAAACTCTTTCAACTCTCTTCGTTGGTTGTGCATCTTTCATTGGTTACACTTTCGTTTGTTTCTTCTTCGACCAACGATCGTTGGTCACAGAAGATCTTTACTAATGGAGGGTGGTTGGGAATCGGTTAGGGCGGGTCTCCATTCGCAGCAACCTCCACGTGGTGGGACCTGGGTAATATTATTTAGCGTTTAATTAATAATCGTATCATTCTTAGCTGGGTAATGCAGACATTAATTAAAAACTAAATAATATTAGCAAATTGGCTGCGATCCGCTTTGCATAGGTCGTCATAAATATAGAGCTTCTTCGCTAGGTTAGTTTTGATTCTCATTGATTCATCAAAGATTCTAGGGTATTATCAGAGACGAGGTATACGAATAGATCTTTGACTTCCATTTTTATGTGGTCTCGAAATCCCATTACCCTTTTCGTGTCATTCGCAACGTTACCAACAGATTCAGAAATGAATTTTAATCCCTTCCATAATCAACTCACATGTATTTACACAAACACTACTGCTCTTTGCCTGTCAATACTAATTCAGTGAATAGTTTCTCAACTGACCGCCATCCATGAGAAGAGGACGCTAAAATCATCTCTAAATTTTCAGGTCGGTATGGCAGTCAGATTGGACCATGAAAGTCCATAAGGTGTAAGGTCTACTCGTACACCTCGTCTATGCCAACAGTGGACACAAAATGTTATTTTCAATTTCTTTAGAATATCTTATACACATTTAAAATTCGTTAAAACTACAAATTTTCATCATAGATTTTATTTTATTTCCTTAGATTTAATTTTTCATTTGAGCGAAATGTTGGTCACAAATTCTAACAAATGTATTATTCTATATAAGTAAAATTAGTTAAGAACAAATACAGTAGATATTGTTCATACAAATTTCGAATATGAGTCACACATAAAGACTTTGAAAAATATTTACCACTTATTGGCATAAGTGGTGTGGTCGAACTATAGCAGAGAATTAATTGAAACCAGATTTTTCTTGTTTAATTGGATTATAATAAATATATATATCGTCTTTCACAAGATATACAATACCATATAAACAAATATAAGCTTTACTGAACTTATTACGTAATATACACCAATTGGAACTTAACATTATTTATAATTATGGTATAATGTAAAATCAAATACATCAACAACGCATTATAAAATTCTTTAAAACGTTTTTGAATGCATTTTTTGAATTTATGTTAGGTGCACGAATGTTCTGAATTAAATTCTCCAATTTTCTTCTTCATATTGCAGCACTGCTCTATTTACTTTCAAAGGATTACTAAAATAATAAATTATATGCACATAACTATAACATTTACCCAAGTGTCAATCAAATGCACTTAGCTAATATATTAAAACAAAGCAAAACGATGTGGAAGTTATTTTTCAAATATCAAATATTTTTCCCTAGTATTTTAAATCAGTCAGTATAATCATGAAACTCAGATCAAAATTTAATTACTTAAGTTGATAATTTATAATGTAATTTTATTTAAAAACACGTATAAGAATTAGAATTAGAAATAAATTCCTAGAAATGCAGCCATTAAACCTTGACCTACTCTTCGTATTCGCATGGTCAAGTGCATAATGGTAGCTTCTAGAATCAAACCATCCATTTAAATGAAAGTGGCTATATATTCAACTATGCACGTACTCGGAAGCCTAAGATATTTCTTTCGACAGAAAATATTGTTCGTCAAAGTAATCACCAGAATTTTAAGAAACCAAGAATTAAACGACAGAGCTATTTCACGCACTTTTGCGAAGTAAAAGGCACGATTTCACTGTAAAATTGGTGCAACGGAATGCACCTCTTACATCACTTGTTTCATATCCGGAATTCGAACCATTGCAACAATAAACACGCCTAAATAATTCAATTTTAATACAATACCGACAACTGACAGGGAATAAACAAAATCTTATCGAGATATTTGATCTAAATATTTTATTTTCGCTAAAAATCCATTTACAATAATATATCGCTAAATGCTAAAAAATCAATCACTTTGGTTCATTCTTTAACGTCGATCGTTGCTTAACACCAGATTTACACAACACGTCAATTTGACAGGTTCCATACTTAAAGTTATAAAATTGGTAACTATTATTTATTAGTAATTTATGTAGAATTTGGCTAATATAACGATACAAATATACTTCTTAATTAAACGAAAATCTGCATTTTAATGTAATCATCAATCTAAAGATATTTCAATAAAAATATATACACTCAATGTTCGTGAATCTAGTGTTAATTAATGTGAGACTAAAGTTCACTCCACTCGTTACCAAACAAATTGATTAATTTTTCCCCAAAATGGGCACCAACAAATCAATGGTAAAAATGGTTTTCTTACCTCGGACCAAAGTTCATGGTCCCTAATTGTCAGTACTTCCGGCACCTCTTTGGAAGAGGAAGGGCGTAAGGAATGAATAATATTGTCTATCGAATCTTTCAAAGACCTACTTGAAAAAAGCAGTAGATCTTCTTCACGAGCCGATCAATTCGCTCGACTCTGAATGAACGCACGACAATCCCGTTATCGTTTCGTCCGAGTGGGTCACCGACACCTCGACAGGATTTTACTCAGCCGCTTCGACGTTCACGTTCGAACAGGCTGAACAGTTCTTCTTGGTGGGGCCGAACAGGACCGTCTCACGTTCTTTGCCAAAGAACCATACGAGGCGCCTCGCTGCTCAACTCTGATCTTTTCTACGAACTTTCATTTAAAAATTTTACACTATCCAACGAGGCATGTTAGGTAACTGTAAATTGGACGTAACAGTCAACCGACGCCATTTCAGAATATTAACATTTATATAATAGCTAAAAGGACACTCAGACATATGCATAATCCCAATAGGAGAAACCTATAACAGAAAATAGTATTTTTATATAAAGAGACAGCGATTAAAATTTATATCTCGTGTTCGATAATTAACGCTGGAACTACCAAAATGGTCAAAACGACCCATTCGTAGTTTATAATATTTAAAAAAATTGACTCGACTGGACTTTCAAGATCCATCATCTATCGTTTCAATCCATTTGATTTAAATAAGTATTCCGTGTACTTACGAACGAATAAATTGTACAGAGATGCAGTTCAGCGTGTATAAAATATGCGTGTTAGGTTTTTGCACGCACGGAACGCAGTATGCGTAACAGTTGTACGAACGAAATAATGAAACGATCGCTAGGCTCGAGAAGAGGGGGATCTTGAAAGTGGAGCCATGTTTCAGCCGTCCCTGGAAACCAGATGGGGTCTGAAAGTGCCCCGCGTGCTCGCCTTCGAGGAACATATTCGTGCAGTATTAGTGTTCGCGGGAACGAGTAACCTGTCGCACCTTTTTATCTCTCGATCGTCGATCAGGCTCGCCAACGACCAGTAAGGACGTTTTCTTTGGGATCCTCGCCGATTATCGCGATAAACGGAAACAGTTTACCTAGTTCGTAGCACGGTGAAGATTCTCGACGAAAAGGAAACATCTCTGGCGAACGTGTCGGGAGGATCATCGACTTTCTAAGCTCCTTGATAATCAAAACTGGATCGACGAGTATGAAGATCGCCACGACGTTGTTCCTCTATGTAGTTGTCGGTACGTACGATTTGGTCTTTCATCGTTCGAACGCAGCTTCTAGATCCAACGTGTGCAATTGGCAAGTTCACTTGCGTAGAATTACTCGATTCATTAAAATTTGTCATCATTTTATTGTAACTCGATATTGCTCGCGATCCCTCGAACTGTTTTCTTTGTAATTGGTGCAGACGGAATTTTGGTTCACGAAACGAGGGTGAAAGTGTGGCCACAATTTCGCCGTGTAACTGTCACGCGTCATCGTGATCCCGGTAATCGAAGAAGGTTGCTGGCCCACTGACAACCTTCGCGATGCCTGGAATACATATTCGAACTAGAAGCTGACGTGACCGAATGCACAGCCAACGCTTGGATATTCGTATGCAAATCTCTAAATCTATTCAACCGAATTGTGTTTCGATGACACACGGATATCGAAGCGTGGGCGGCGAGCCTCTGTCAAATTTTGCATAATAGAATCTTAGATAGCTTTATGACTCAATACAAGGTTCCCATATAAGGAAATCGAAATGATTAGAATTTCAATGGTGAAGACTTTTGATGAAGGCTCGTTCAAGTACTAAATCACCAGTTTTCAATACAAGGACTTTGCAAAATAAAAAGAAGGAAATTTTATTTCGCTTCGTTGCTCCATCGGGTGTAAAAAGTTATTGGAAACTGGTTTCCAGAGTATCTATGATAATCTTCTTGGGCAACTCGCAGGTTTCTGGGCCTTTTTCCATAATTTACGCCTTGTATCAAAGCATATATAATATTCTGTGCTATCGAGCCCTGACTTGTCTTGACCGGCTGCACTGTTTACTCGATCTTACCACTCAAACTTCCCCTATCACTCAATCTTACTATTACTGAACTTATCTTCAAATAATCGCCGTCTGTCTCTATTGCTAATGGCGCAGCTCTCCCTCAGAGTGGATGCCTGGTTACTTTTCACGTCTGAACAGAGGTCTTTGTAAATACGATCTTGCATAGGAAATGCTACGGAATGAGGTTGCAACTCGAACGGGAGCCTACGTGATTCGTGTGCTCCTCCGTTGGTCGGCAAATGTAATTTTCGATAATTTTCCGGTTCTTTTCGCGTCGATCTAAGCGTGACCAAACTCGTTCTACGTTACATCGCGATGTTACAAATTACGCTGTTTCAATATTTTACGAAACCATTTGCCCACACTCAGATCATCTAGCTATCGATTCCTATTAGAAGATTTAACAAATTTTAACATTATCACAGTTACAAATATATCTAAGACTGTTTTTCAGCCATAACAACATTTATTACAACATTATATCTCAAACAAACACGTGTAAGATTGACATTCTTAAGATCAAACTTCTTCTTAAGTCGTTTCATAAGTCTTTGCATATTTTTATTTAACCAAATTTTAAAAAACATGTCCATATTCGAAAAAAATGTTAATCATTTATAGAATGGTCATTGTTTATCCAGAATAACATTACTTAAAAATTATTATTAGGTCATTTCATAAGTCTTTGCATATTTTTATTTAAGCAAATTTTATTTTAAGAAACATGTCATTAATCATTTACAGAGTGATCTTTGTGTATGGGTTACTTTTTCGTAAAAATTGGTGCATTTTAAAAAGCACGTTCCAATGTCAATTTCAACGATTTTGATTTTTAAGAAACTGGCTTTAAAATTTAGTTTGCTTGCTATTCGAAGCAATTTGCAACGTATATTCTTCTTAATGGACGTGTTTTAGCTTGATCAGGTAGAATTATGTTTACATTGAATCAATCGTTCTCATAATTAAATATACAAAGACTCACAAATGAACCTAATATTTCAGGAATTTCATTGGTCCTATTTATTGAGAGAAATCTGTTAAATATGTTATACGTGCTAAAAATATTTAATTTATTTCCTTCCTAAAAAAATATAAAAATAAAACGAGATTTAAAATCCGATGTACCACGTGTTTGACAGTTCTAGAGAGGCAGGGATGTACATAATTATGTAAATAAGTTGGAAAATAAGTGTAAAGTACTCGCGTGTACCATTACGAGTTTGCTTGTGTAGATACGCTAATCGCAGGAACGTTATTTCCGAAGCAAGTTTGTTTAATACAGACATAAAGACGAGTAACGCGTCGATTACTTTTAACAGACTCTTATTGAACTTGGAAGGGAATTTCTCTTTCGCGTCTGTTTCGAGTTTAGTCGTCCGAGGCGTTTATTATTCGCTCGTAATGGACGTTTCCCGCGAAACGGGCGACTCCGATGGCGGACAGCGCATATCAGCGCTGTAAAACCATTAAACGACGGCGTCTACGACGAGAACAAACTCATCGGATAGGAAAAAGTAACAGTAAAGCCGATCGTACGCATCGGTGCAAACTAGAAAGTGCAAAAGTATCGGTTTTCATTGGTAAAAATACCGCGATCGAAAAAGAAAAGAAGAAATAGAACAGATCTACGACGAAAGTAAGCAATTGCAGTTGTCTCGTCAATTACGGTCGCGAGAAAGGAGACTGAAACCGATTCGACGTACGTCGATGGTAATTACATATTTTCGACTTTTGATCGTGTAATACGCGAAGATATAATAGGGAAATTTAGGTCGAGGGAACGAAGTGACTCGCGTCATAGAAACTTGTACCCCCTGTTACGACGATTTTCGCCATTATCCTGTCAATTCGAACACGTAATACAGTGTCAATCTTAGAGAAATTTTCACCGTATTTATTACAATAATAACTTTCACGTTCAGGTATTAATTACATTTATTGTGGTGAAAATACGACGCGTTAAGTGCACGTTGTTACGCGTAAATGATTCTTGCAATTGCTTTTAGAAAATAAAATGTCAGGTGTTGTAAAAGATTGTACAGGTGGAACACATTTTTAATACGAAGTCGAAATAAAAGTTTTTTCTTATTTAGGGTTAATTTACGAACTTAGGCAAAGTGGCCATTTTTTATTTACTTCTGTAAATCCAATATGTCTTTTCTACGATCGTAACTTGCTATCGATGTGTGTTTTATTAAATAGTTTTTCTAAAATTCCCAATTGACGGTAAAACAAATAATAAAATTGCAAATTGTTTTTTTTAAATACCTTTCAGGAACATGTATACTGAATATTAACTCTATTAGTAGCATCTATTATAGATAACAAAACTTCGGTAATTATTAACGATGACATATAGGTTTTGGAATCGATTTAAACACGGATGCTGGTAATCATTGGAATCCCATATTTTAATGACTGAGATTTTGACGGTAAGGTTATTTGGGAAATCGGGCCAGCAACGGGTCTACGCGAATGCTTCGTTTCTGACTAGTTACTTTCTACTCACCTCTGACCATCTATGGTGCTCTTTCCAACGTTCCAGTTCTGTCGATCATCGAAAATTAATTCACCAATTTGACCAAAATTTTACTTTAAACGTCGTTTAAAAAATATCCAGCATCAATAGCTTCATCAATCTTCTTCAAATGGAAAATTTATATTCGAAAATTGAAAAACGTCAGAATTCTTATTAAGTCTTTGCATATTTTTGCTTAAACAAAATGTATTTTAAGAAACATGTTCGAAAAAAGTCTTGATTTCTTTTTGCATTGAACGTTGACAATTTACTAAACATTTTAAACACTCAGTTCATTAAACTATTGCAAATATGTTTAAAACTTGGCCTGTATTAACATAATATTTTAGATTTAATTTTTGATTTATTTTGTTTAAAAATCCATCTGTGATCAAAGAAGGAAAGATCAGAAGAAAAAAAAATAAGAAAAAGTCAGATTAGGTCACCCGTTGGCAAATAATTTACGAAGGTCGACGCGAGAAGCGACTTTTGAAGGTGTGTCGTTGCCAAGGTAAAGGTAAAGGCCATCCGTGAGAAAGTGTTGCTCGAGTTTGCTCGTCGACGAGCGTCGTTATGTCGTTTCGCGTCAGCCACGAAGTCTTCTAAACAAAGAAAAGTGAATTTTACTTCCATTATTGGTATCGCGTTGCCCCTGTCCAATTATATCACGACTCTGTTAGGTCAATTCCGAGATGAACAGTGAAAGTATCCTTGAGCTTTGCACCGCAAAAGTCAATGTCCTCGATCTCGAGGAACAGATAGTATCTGCGACTGGGTTATGTTCTATGAATGACGACGCATTCCTTAGGATGAAACATATCTGCCATAACAAACGAAACAATTACACGTTTCGTAGAAAAGAAATTACCGATGTAAAGCTTTTCTTCGCGTGTCTTCGACAGTTCAACGAAATAAAACAGCCAATATTGTTCGACTTTTCGTTGCTCCAATTTTCCTTGTTGATCCATCTCTTTTATTTTCTTGCAATAAGAGTTCACGGGTCGATTCATCTGTTCTGCGTTTTAACAGGTTGATTGACGTGCACGCGAACCGTCACTTCTGATGAGATTTCGAAAATGTCAGGATACAGCTAATTTAGACGATGAGAACTAGACGCAGAACTTCTACTCTTCGATCATCTCTGTCTCTTGTGAGATATTTTTTATTTCATTCTCTTTGCAATATTCTGCACGACATACTCGTACATAACGAAAATAAACGATTTTACTCCATCCAGGCTATTTTTATAGCCGATTAACGTTTTCTAAAATGTATTCGTCAATTAGATTTAGAAAATGTTTTCTCAGAAAAGAAAATCAGTACATAATTTTTATTACTTATACTTTGGCTGTTTCTACTAGATTGCATAGATACAAAGAAATACTTCAAACAAAAATAATTTAACTAAACTGTTTTTTCTGAAAATTCTGTGCTGTTCCAGTTATGAGAGAATTGTTTTTTTTTCGGTGTTCGTTTGCTTGTGCTCACTTTCCACGTGTCCAAATCTTCACAATATTTTTCAAGTAACTATTAATTTTGTGGTGAGTTGAGTTTAGCTCCCAAGTCTTCAAAGGTAACAATCGAAACTCGTTAAATATTTTAAAGAAATGTCCATATACAACAATACGAGTCTTCAAGCACGTCATTTTTGAGAATTCACTATCGAAACTTTTAAATTATAATTAACGCCCACTTGCCCCGCTCTCGTACACTTGACACACATTTTCACCACTGCAGTCATAGTACTTTCTTGCTCGAACCCGTCCAGCATAAGACGACGAATATGCTATTTAGTTATTTATATACCCTACTGCGACATTGAAGACAATGTCTCTACTTGCACCAGTATTTATAACAAATGGATGCACCTCGTGTCCTCGAAGAAACTGAACTACCTGATTATCTAATAAAATGTATAACCTTGCTAACTTGTATCGACTTGACACCGATTTCTTCTTTCGAACGTGCATACCACTCGATAAAAACTTGATTAACCGTTTAATCGAGACGATTTAATAGAATTCTTCGGTAAATTAACTCCGCTAAAATGATGTTTTTATTACTCAGTTTAATACATTAATACCTTATTAGAAATATGAATAAATTTGCTCTAGTTAACAATTACACAAAATTCAAGAATTAGCTCATAAAACAGCTTTGTTTGCTAAACCCTTCTCCCTCCATGATATAGACATGATAACTAATTTTTATTTGCTGAATAAAGTGGTTAGGTAAATAAAAAGAAATGTATCCCATGATACTAAATTCTTGATACTGCCTGAAATTATAGTCAAACGACATAAATCATTATGACTAGCTTTATATAGGAAGCAATTGCACCATCGATTTATTGGATTAGTTTTATTGTAGAGCCCTCCAGTACCCTTGAATGCATACAGGGTGTTCGGTCACCTCTAGCAAAAATTTTAATGAGCGATAGTAGAGGCCAAAATAAGACGAAAATCAAGAATACTAATTTGTTGATGGAAGCTTCGTTAAAAAGTTATTAAAAATTAAATTCAAAAATTTCAAATCGTTCTGGAAAAATTATTTTCGGTTGCGGGGGTCAACTACAATCATTTTTGGTGAGTACACATACCTCCGAAATCCTATCTACTTTCGAGAAAAAAAATCGAGTAGGTGCTGAAATTTTTCGGCGAAAAAAAATTTTTCAAATCGTTTTAAAAAAATTATTTTCGGTTGCGGGGGTCAATTACAATCATTTTTTATCATTACACATACCTCCGAAATCGTACGCACTTTCGAGAAAAAAATTCCTTACTGAAAATCCAATTAGGTGCCTAAATTTTTCAACGGAGAAAAAAAATTGCAAATCGTTGTGGAAAAATTATTTTCGGTTGCGGGGGTCAATTACAATCAGTTTTTGTCATTAGACATACCCACGAAATCCTGCCCACTTTCGAGAAAAAAAATAGAGAAGGTGTGAAATTATTCGAGAAAATTAAAAAATTGCAAATCGTTGTGGAAAAATTATTTTCGGTTGTAGGGTTCAATTACAGTCATTTTTGGTGAATAGACATACCCCCGAAATCTTGCGCATTTTCGAGAAAAAAATTCAGTAAGAGCGGCACTTTAAACGTTAATAACTTTTTAACGAAGCTTCCACCAACAAATTAGTATTCTTGATTTTTGTCTTATTTTGGCCTCTACTATTGCTCATTAAAATTTTTGCTAGAGGTGGCCGAACACCCTGTATATGAGCTATTACGTTTTAATTTATGCTTTGAAAACGCACGGTGACGAAAAATTAATTTTATATCACGATTACAAAACAGTCACGCTGTTATTATATGGTAATTACACGGTCGAATGATTTACAATTATGTTTATACGGTACTTGCACAGTAATTGCACGACAATTACATGGTAATCATAATTGTAAATCATTAATAAATTTACGTGTTGCTTGACTTTGTTTAAAATGCTCTTGGTCGATAAACTCGGCCAACACGTGTCTCTGTCCAGTTATACTTGAGCTTTCTCGTTCGAAAATTTCACCGTGTTCGAATGCGCTGAACAAAATTTCTACAGGCTGTCTCCTTCCATTCACAGTTGCAACAGAAACGAATTAATAAAGTTATTTCAATTTTTGAGAGTCATTAAATACAGATTTCTACGGATTTCATCATTTTTCGAAATCACCTAATAAATGTGAGATCTCTCTTCGTCTTGTTATACAACTATAGATAAAACGCAGAATGTATTAAGTGTGACAGCTCATTTTTTATCGAGACATCGATTAAGTAAAAAAGATATATACCGAAAATATGCAAAAAGGTGGTCGTTAAATTTGTAGGAAAGAGGTCGCTTCTGCTGACTGTTCTTTTTCTTAATTTTCATTTAAAATTTATGCTGTATAAACAAGTTTTTAAATTTAATTTCCAGCAAATGTAAGCTAGATGTTATATATTTTATAATCGACGTCCTGATACAATTTTCTTTTGTTATATAGATGATATTTTTAGTTCTATTTATGCCTTCAATTAAGTTTTATTTATAATTGTTTAGTACTTAGTTTAATAATGGTTCGTGAAAGTGCAAACAGACAAATGAAAAGACGTTCTGGCAATGTGTGACTCGGTTTAAATATTCTATAAACAAGTCTAAATCCAAATAAATGCAATTTTATTTACATTTAAATGTAATCGTTAAAATTATTAAAATTTAAGGCGGTTGATATTTTGCATGCAATTAATTTCGTCTCAATTGTCAAGATGGATTGTTATTGTGTAATTTGCGTGGCTGACGGACAGTAAGAAGACAACCGTTCCATTATTTGGAGCGTGAAGGAGAACTGTCAAGAAAATGAAACGAAACGGAATAAAAGAAACGATGATCACCGTCGTTAACAGTAATCGGTCCTGCTCGACGAAATTTGCACGTGACTTTTCCTTTTTCTCACAGTCGGTGAACAGAAAACGTCGCGATTCGGAAAAAGCGGAACTGATTTTTGTATATGGGGGACCATCGCGATCATTCAGCGTGGTTTGACTCGACCTTTGAAGTAGGTTAGTAGGCTATGGCCCGATGCCACGACTGAGATCCGGTAATCTTTTTCAAACAGAAATTCCAAACGTTCCTTTCACAAATATTGCATTTGAAAACATTTCATCAAATGCGCAGAAATTGAATTTTGAATCAAATTTTCCATGCAATTAATTTTATAAGTAAACGTAACGATGGCGTAATCGTATAGCAGGAGTCTTAAGAAAACTTTCTCTATTTATCGAAATTATACTTTTCGTGTTGAATTCAGGTATTAATTATTTAGTCTGTCATATAGGAATGCTTTACGTTTCGACAACAGCATTTTAGGTACTTTCTCAATACTTACGTAAATCTTATTTCGTTTATTTTTATATCGGGTATCTATATTTTTCTACTTATGCAATAATTAAATAACTAAACGATCGATAGCATGAGTAGATATAGTTAAACAAGAATCGAAGGTTTATTATTTTATATTCAAAGTAACTGTTTTGCTACATAACTCAAAAGTTAAACCAAACTGATCTATAACTATTATAGTTATTTCAAAAATATGAACTATATTTATACAAAAATTTGTTAAATTAAAATTATAAACGAATAATTTGTTTGATTAGAAAACAATATCTACTTTATCTAAAAATATGTGTATACAGAATATTCTGTAAATTTTCTACTTTAATATAACCTAACTTCAAATTGATCAGAACTCTAACATGTGTAATTAATAATCCAATGTGTGTAACTAATAATTTCAATCGTAAAGCCCCAAAGATTGATTTAATAAATTTCCTGAAATCCTCGTCCTTAATATTAAGTATTTTATAATAAAAATTTTGGTAAAAAGAAAACGTGATGTGAATTTTTGATCAGATGCATGGAACATGGAGAATAACTCACACGTCGAAGTGTGTGTACACAATCTGTGTTTGAACTCTCTTCGACGTCGAAGCGTCCTTTCTATTACATCCTGGGGAACCGCAAATAGAGGAAGATTCCGCGTCTTCCGTAAGAAAACGTCATTATATCTCGGAGTCGTTTTGACAAAGAATATTAGAAACCATCTGTCGACGTGACGTGAACACTACATGCAATATATAACGTTTAATGTCTGATTTCACTAGAAAATTGCTTTCTCGAAAAGGAAACTGTTTCATGAAAATGTTAACCTATTGTAGTGCAAAGCGAAAACGTTCTTCTAAAGTAACTGCAATTATCCACACACAAAACGAGGAAATTCTACACAATGTTTGACAAATTGGTGCATAAAATGCATACAATTATATTCAGACTGTGTCCAGTACCTTATGGTTCTTTTATGGCATCTTCAGACTGCATATCAAGAGTATATTTAAGAAAAATTTAGTTGTTATATCTCGATATGTCTTGTAACAGAGATGTTTCTATTATTTACGTTTTATTTTACTCTGAAAATAGATAGTAATATAGACAATTGTCTGAATCTCGTTATACCTCGTCAGACCTTCATTGCAATTAATCGAACGTTCGTTAATATTCCATCGACCCTAATGCAACATTCATAGACCGGTAAGGATCAATAGCACAGATTAGGAGCCATAAATTAACGACCCCTGCATAAGCAAAATAAGAGAATATATTAGAACGGTCGTCGTTTTAATCAATTCGAAGCGATTCTCGCGTTAATGGCGTCGTTCGAGTCCCTGTTACCTGATCCAGCTCGAAGCTGAAACGAAAACGCGTGACTTTCCATCGTGATGGAGTTCCTTAATAGTAGAGCGGACATTTTTATGTTAAAAAATCCAGTTTCAAAAATGTCTAGACTTTCTCCGAAAGTATTTTATCAATCCTGAATACGTGTCTCGACTTTAAACGCACCATTTTGTTCGCGATTAAACGAACGAAGGATCCACGATCTGTTCCGTTCTTATTGCTTCGTGCAACATAGTAACTTTATCGATAAAACAAAATAAGAAATTTCAAATAAATTGACACCGAATAAGGCAAGAAATCTCAAATAAATTGCAATTAGCGCGCGTTTGAGTGTCGCGATGGAAAGTTCGGCTGCGATCGAGGGGGAACGAAATCTGTTGGATCGGAACAGGGATCCAATGGTGTTCTTTTCTTCCGGTTTGGTTCCAGGATGCACGTGGCGGGAGACGCTAGGGACATGCGTGTTTCAGTCGGACTTTGGTTTCGCGCTAAACTGCGCCTTCAAAAAGTCTGGCCTCTTTCGAGTGCGAAATCTTGGAGGTGTCAAAGGTTACGTCGGCCTGGGTGAGTCGAAACAAGCACCGATGCCAACGATTGTAACATAACTCGTTTGAAACGATTACACTAAACCGGGCGTCGTTCCGTGAAATACGAACGTAAACAGTTTTAGAAAAAATATCAAACACGAGCATAGATTGAAATTTCCTGAATCGCTTCTTTCTGTTTTATGGACTATTTACTGTAAATATTGTAACATACTAATAACAATTTGTTCGATAGCTTTTTTAAATATTTTCTTCCCTAAAATGCTATAACTGTATCGATTAATAGAAAAGTATGTACAAAGTATCGCTTCGTCATGGTGGAGGAACTATTTTTATATTATTAATTTAAATCTACTAACTCTAAGTAACACTTTCTAGAGTTATCTGTTAATAACTTTCTATTGCTGTTTGTATATATTATTTTGCAACCTGATTTTATAGGACGAAATAATATGCTAAGTCATTCACCAAGAAGAAAAGGAGTGCTTTATGTGATATTACGTTGATCATTATATAAGAATCGAGCTGCTAAACGCGATGACCTATTTTATTCTATAAACACGTAGTAATTAATTAATAGGCATCAATAATCCTGTCATTCTTTTTATATCCACGGTAATCTTATTTGTTATTATTATAATAAAGTAGTATGTGTAACGCAAAAGTGATATACGATAATATAATTAATCACGAGATGAAGAAAGTAAATAATCATTCGCTATGAAAACTATTTTAAAATGATTCATGATCATATTCAGAATACGATAAATAAACGAGGAGAATGTAATGTATATTCTAATATCGATAAATCAATGTTATATAACAAATATTGTAATACATTTCTATATACAGAGTGTTTCAAAACAACAAAACAAACGAATTTCTCGTGCGAAAAGATCGAAAAATTCTTATGCTATTTTGCAATCCGAGGCTTCGTTTTTGAGATTATAAACAGTTAAAGTTTACAGTTAGTTGGTCGCGTGACCGCATACGCGCCATTCACGCACAAGCAACACGTGCCCATGGCGTTCACACGCGTAAAAATTTTAACTGTTAAACGAAGCCTCAAATTGCAAACTAGTAACGAACTTTTCGATTTTTTTAAGAACTTACATGTTTCAAAACATATTAGTACGAAAAGTATTCATGAATGCAACAGATTTTATCGTATTTTGAAGATTACAATAAATCATTGACCAGGAATATTTGTTTCACAAGAACAATTACCAAATTTATATTCTTACAAAGTAATCCTTAGTATCGTGTAAGTTGTATTGTACAAAAATTAGTGACAAAGTTCCAAAGGTGAATCATAAAATATAAAAATGTTGATCATCTAAAAATAGACGAAACCATGAAACGAGAAATAGATTTAAAATTTTATTTCCATCCATCCATGCACGTGATTGAATAATCTTTATCGATCCATCGTTTCGTTCCATTAATCGAGATCGATGTGTCTCGTTTACCACGGAGCGATGCAGAAAGTGAATGAGTATGACTCGCAGATGGTAATTAATCGCGTGGAACGTGCATGAGATTGGCGATGACTTTCAGCTCGAAGCAAGTATAATATCTCTTCCTAACCCACTTTTATCGCGGGTTTTGCAAATACACGATTTGCTGAAAAAAAACCGTCGTTTATTATTCGCTGGCTTCTCTTGGCCCCGATAATGGATGAGATGTCACCGACATTCCCGTGAAAGATGACGCCTCTGACAAAACCGTGATTTGCATTATGCGTACGTAATCCACGGTGCGATGAATAAACTCTTTTCGTAAAAACGCGTTGTTTGCTAGTTTACGGCGTAGCGCAAAAAATTGGGTCGGTTGTTACGCAACACGTGGGTTGCTTCATTCTTTTCATGCTCTGAAGTTTCTTCTTTTCGCGGTGTTTTTTTTTTCTAACCCTCTGTGCTATGTTTCTATGCGCAATTCCGAACGAAAATACGTGTTTCGCTTTTAAGAATTTTACCAAGAAGAATATTGTTTCGTAATGGTTGGACGTAATGTCAGAAAAATTTGTAAACAAAGAAGCAGTATATAATTATAATCCTGGAATATTGTATTAGGGTACTGCCTTCATGGTTTATTTTTTTAAAAGTTATTCAGTTGTTGATCATAATTTCGTATTAGTAAAATGCTTTTTTCAACAATTTTAACATTTAAACTAAGCATTAACAAGATTATGGGTGTAGGTGTAGTGTTGCAGAGTTAATTTTAAATTAGAATTATGCTTTATAACAATAAGGATTATTTACTTTTTATTTCGAACGCTTTTAATTTAATTCGATGTAATCTCTCGATAACGATAATTTTACTAAAGTTTATATACCAATTTCTACTACCTTTTATTTTTAAATAAAAATTGGTTCCTTTTTTTTTTATTAACTTAAATATTTTTCATGTGCAAAAAATTCTTTTTATATACATATAAAATACCAATAACATAAGACTATAAACTGAATTTTATTTCTGTAACGAGAATTTATTTTTTACTATTATATTCAGTTTCAAAATCGTTTATATCGTTTGCCATAATAAAACGTGCCATTTTGTTTTTCGTATAATTGTGCTACATAGTTCTGCTATATAGTAACAGATATATCGTGTTACTTGTTGAAAAGTTCCTGGTATTATTAATATTAAATAGTAAATATTCTAAATAAGAATGTAATGTTTAATTGATTCATCTCGAAATAATAGTGTAATTATTATTTCTAGGGTTTTCCGTCGGTGATGAACTGGGCTTCACTCAATCTTTATCTAACGTAGAGGCCGCCAAAAGAAGAAGCGTACAAACTAGCAGGGGCAATGTACCGCCATTTACTAACACCGTAAGAATTTTCAAATATTGGAAATCAAATAATATTACCATATTTAATAACTGTTCTCTTCTTGGTTGGTCAAATTATCCAACCTTATTGACAAATTTGAAAAATAATAAAATAAAAATTAAATCAATTTCTTTCGTATTATAGATTCAACATTACGAAAAGGTACCAATTCATGAATGTTAAATTTCTATCCCCGTTAAATAAAATCAACCAATTACACTAATCCAAAATGAAATTTTTCTATTTACATTGAGTTACTTATAAAAATGACTGTACAGAATATTTTGTAGTTGGATCTAAATTTAGGTAATACGCTAGTAATTATTTTTTTAGCGTGCTAGACCATAATACGCATCACTATGCAGGAATTCGCGTTGCAGTAACTAGCTCAAGGAAAATCTATCGGATGAGAAAACAACTGTGAGAACATCCATCGCGATTCTTACCATTTAATGATGTTTTGCAAAAAAATACACAAGTCAGATAGTTTTTTAATCGCGTACTATATTACTTTTCTTTAAAAAATTTCTTCGCTGCGAGAAACTCGCTAAATGCACTTCGAATCTTTCGTCTTTCGTCATTTTATTTGCTATTAAAGTTCTTTCTCGCTTTGTTGTTTATCGATAAATTGTTTCATCGTTAATCCAAACGAGTTCGTTCTTTATTACCGTAACACAATCTCCGCCGTTATATCTTGGGGATACGCGAACGACCTTATCGTAATTAGCGCGTGAATGTCGATGCGAGCTCTTTTCGCGTACAGCTTTCCGTAACAATAACCTAGGGCAAGGTTCGCGTTCGCGCGAGTACACAGTAACGAGGGTAATGCATTTAGACATTATGGAAATGCAGAAAAGTAAGGTGAACGATTCAGGACAAGGCTTCGGAATTTCTTTTGTACCTAGGTGCTTGCTAAGGTCGGGATGCAAGTGCGAAGTTTAATAACTACGATGTTCCCTGTGATTGATTTTATACACGTATTACGAAACTGTACTCGTTCGTCAGCTAACTCTACTCTTAGCAAATTCATAGAGAAATATTTCTCTACGATTTAAATTCCAGTTGAGAAATACACTTCTCCCAAACATTATAAAGAACTTATAAAATAGAGTTTCACAATACTTTCATAAATATATCAATAATCGCTTTAACTACTGGACATAATTTGAGCAAGTAATGAATAATCTTTGGAAAAATAATAAACTATGTATTTGGAAACTAAGTATTTATATATACGAAAATAAAGTAGGGGACAGTTTATTCAAAAGTATTTTAAATTGAGATAAAATTAAAGTATATTACACAGTTCAATGGTCTCGATTGAAAATAGTTTCACATATGTTCCATTTAACCTTGTTCCTGATTTATAGACATTTTTGTACTCCATTAACGTGTATGTAGTTGTTAACCTTCGCATGATATGCTCGAAATGGCCACTTTCGGTCCAAATACGAGCCCACAGGCATTTTGTCATAGAATTTCTCAATCGTTCAAAAATTCCAAACGTTTGAGTCTTTGTGGTCTTCTTGTCTACGTTACCGAAATGTTTCGACATCGTTAATAGACGTTGAATGAACAAATATTTTTATGTAATCTCATAAATGAAAATCCAGTATATTTAGATCAATGTAACGAGTAGAAGGGAATTTCAAAGTCGGAGAATACTTGAGAAATAAGGCTAAGAAAATATCATTCATATCATTCTGTTCCCTTGTCGACTTCCATCTAGTGATTTGTCTCGAAGATTTTTCAAAAATTTCTCTGGAATTTTATCTCGAATACCTCGTAGCTATTTAATTAGGTTATTATTTTTCTTACTCGTTCTAAAAAATGTTTACTTATTGTGCGTTCGTTTCTGTCATTTCCTCTATTTTTCTTGACATTTATGTTCCATTTGTGCACAATTTAATTTTCTCAATAGTTATATTATAATATGCTTCTTTAATAAATATTGTCCAACGTTTCATTAGTAGTCACTGTACATCCACTGTAGCTGTACCTTTTTGTAATTGTATAAATCTTTAATTAAGGTAATTTATTTTGGTACTTTTCAATCCTCACAATATAATCAATTTTTAGAATTTCAAATTTAACAATTTAGAGGTATAAAGTTTGAAGAAAATGTTAAATAATTCATTTTTTACACGTTCGGAGTAATAGGTCGCTTTAAATGTGGAACGAATAATTTATTTAAGGCAACCAATCGAGACGAAGTCAGACAGCACACGCAAAACATTCGACAAGTGGTGCCTCCTTTCAAGCCTTTGCCGCCCGGTGCTGCACGACCGATGGCTCAGCAACCGGAACGTCAGAAATTGGTTGTCCAACAGAATTCTACGGCTCTCAGGACCATACCCGCTCCGGCTTTATCAACGACGCAACAGGATATGCTGAGGCAGCAGCAACAGCTGGTGCAACAGGAGGCGAAACAGAAGCAGAGGCTCCAGCAAGAGGCGTTCGCGTTGCAAGTGTTGAAACAACAACGGTTGCAACAGCAGGAAGCGACGAGGCAACAGCAGCTGCAGAAGATCCAGCAACAACAGAAGCAGCAACAACTTCAGCAGCAACAGAAGCGACATCAACAGATGCTTTCGATGCAAGTGAAGAGGGATCAGGTGATTATCAAACGAAATTTAGACTTTTTAAGAAATGTCTCGTTTGAATCGAAAATAATAAAATAAGAGTAAAATAAGAAACTTTAATACAACTGTTCAAATACAAGAAATAACGTAAAGTGCAATGAAATATTAATCAATACAGAATGTATTGATTGAAACTTTATTATTCGCCAGCATGTTGTAATTTGTAATTGTAATGCTGTAAAATGTAAATCATTTTACATGGGTGACGAGTTTGAAATCACTAAAACTGTAAGATAATACATATATGTATGTATATATGATTGGAAACCTATTCAGTTGAACTAAAAATTCTTACGTTTTATCTCTATAAAAAAATTATATTTCTTTAAAAAATTAAGCTTTAATCAGTTATATAATTTCTCTCGTTAGATATTACTGGTTGGTAGTCGAGTTAAAAAATTTAACAAGTATAAATTCGAAACCTTTCTGAGAAGATGAAGGGTCCCATCAATGCATGTTCGAGATCATTTTCTATATTAACAAGAACAAAGAAAATAGTGGCTGTCGATAAAGTTTATTCGATAGGCAAACAGTATAATAAACATAGTCAGAACGTTTCAACCCTTAGATTGGACTCTCTTTAGTAATAAATTGTATGCTTTTATTCGATAGACGCCACAAATGCTTGCAATTGCATCTGCAATGCCAGGAAAGATGCCTAACATCGTCGCCGCGATTCCACCAGCCGGAAGTATAGTGGAACCGGAACCTGTGTCAAAACCGATATCTTCGAGCGGAGGACTGCCACCGTTCATTTCTATGCCGCCATCGTCTGCACAGTTGACCGATCGAATCAGCAACAGTCCTACAGTTCTGGAAGACTCTGACAACGAAGTGTCGAAAGACGATTTCAATCAAGTAATTATTTTTTACTTTCGTCGTCCTAGGAAAACTGTGAGCTCGAGGTTGAATCCTTAAACTCTTCGAGTCTTCTTAATCCAATTTTCTAAAAATTGATATACGAAGTTGATTTAAGAGTCAAGGTATGAAACTTCGTATGCCAGATTACTTTTCTCGATAGAATCTTCTTGTATCAATTTTTTGTATTGCCCGAAAAAAACCTACAGCTTGACCTAGTTTTTAGAGTCACCTCGTATATTGTAATCTCTGCCTCTGAATATTTAACTATGCGAACTTTAGTCTTATGTAAGTGAAAACATACATAGTTCCATCATTTCAAACCGTACAATGTCCATCAACTGCTTCATATTTAGTCCTCCACTAATCGTTAAGTTTGAGCAAGATTCTTATTATTTTTCAATGAAGGTCTATAATCAATGAAGGTTTAACTTTTACAATGAAGTTACAAAAGTTCAAATACTGACTTTTCAAAATTTATGATACCTTGAATAGTGTATTTTTCTATTATTGTTCTATGGTCTTGCTCTAACACTCTATCGTCAACAATATTTACTAAGAAGAGTTTTAGAAATTTTTTTAGAAATTCGTGAAGATTGCCTCAACGTCTGTAACAATTAAAAGTTTACTGGAGCCACCATAATAATTAATACAAGACGTAATCGAGGACATTCTTAAGTCTTTGTTACTTTATTCTTCTCATTAATCTCAGTTTCCTTTGCCCGGGGACGAGGCTGCTTCTTCCGTAAACGAGATGACCTTACTTTCCCTCCACCCAATATCGTCCGAGACCAGCCAAGCTTTGACGCAACAGCAAACAGAGAAACGACAATCCTTGCCATCGTCTTTGCCGTCTCTAGCGCCTATTCAGGGGATGGAGACGTCTCTGAAAGCTCTGGCGGAAGCCAGCAACATCACTTTGGATGCTCTGGAAGCAGCGATACTGCTCAGGCAACAACAACTCTTGCGCAAGCAACAGGGACCAACCAGTTCGACTACAAGCACCACGACGACAACGATGTCTCCGCCCAAAAAGTAATGTAAAATTGCACTTGGAATATTTTCTTAGAATACTGTTACCGTAAAATTCGCTTTTTCACTGATAAAATAATTCTTCGCTTCTTGGACTTGCCCATCTACTATTTCTAGTCATTATATTTAGATGGACATCTTGTTAAATCTTTCTCCTACAGATTCTTTTAGCTTATAAACAACTTGGCTTTAAAAGGGAATTATAGTAATTTAAACATCTGCTTTAGCACCCTTGCAATTCTTTAATCGATCAGTCAGTGTTAATTTGAAAATGAAAACCTGAACAATATAGCAAACAAGACAGTCTGAGATCTTTGATGAGTCCAGTTGAAATGTTAGCGAACAGTAGATTATTTATAATCGAAATTAAAGTTTTTCTCTAATTATCTTACTCTGCTTCAAACAGTCTACATTGTAAGAATATCTATAACTATTCGTACTGTATTAAGTTCATAAATTCTTTTTACTTTCAGTAAATACAGTTCTGGGGCCACCAAAGTGATGAACGCGCCTCGTGAATATTATCCACTGGGTTATGACAAGAACTTCGACGATAATTTCGCTAGTCGTGTCGATCTTCCGGATACGAGCTTCTATTGCGGCGATCAAAAACATTTCCCTGGCCTTTACGCTGACGAGGACCTCGGATGCATGGTAAAATAATATTAAAAACATAAAATTCATCGAGTCCACATCCTAAAAAATGATTTAGTAAAATTTTTTAAAATATTCACACGTATCAGCCCTAACAATATATTTTTCTTTATTCACAAATATTTGTTGATGAATAATCTGTCGTTAAATAATAGATTTTCTTTCGTGTGCATTCAGGTATTTCATGTCTGCGCGCTGACAGACGATGGATTGATTATGAAGAGCTTTTTGTGTCCAGAGTCGACGTTGTTCGATCAAACGATCCTGAAATGCAATTGGTGGTTCTACGTCGATTGTAAATCGTCGAAAGGCTTGTACGATAGCAATATTCCTATAAGCAAGAGCTACCAACTGATGAAAGCTCTCGCGTTCTTTTCAGCGTACAAAAACCATGAAAATAGTACAACCAATGCTCAAGAAAGCTCAATTACCGAGAGCTCCTGAAATAATTGTAAGGTACTTGAATGATCAAACTTAGTATATAATAGTAGGGCATCTTCCATAGACTTTGATCGGTTCTACGATTGCCAATTAATGTTCCTTTAATCCATTAAGTCACGAGTTAAAACTAACTCTCATATTTACTGGAACGTCGTTCTATTTTAATGTCTCCCGTCTCGACGGAAGACTTTCGATCAACGCACGTTTCTATATTTATTCTTCTTCAAAGGATGGTCTTAATGGGTTAGATAGAACTTTTTTTAAACGTGTAAGACGAGGGATACACGTCGATAGCTTTTCGTTTAGTAGCCGTTTCAATCCCAAACGATAAGTGTGTACATATAATTTATTGTATTAGAACGTAATAATCGTAGTAAATAATTTTTTACAATAACATTGTAAATAGTTATACGTTGGTCTCTTCGTTGATATGGATTGTTTAAATAATAATTTTATTTTTCCGTATTTCTAGATATTTTTATTTCTACGATAAACGGAATTATGATTTCCGTTTCTCGTCGACTCGTCCGGTCGAATTGAAGTACAAATACGTAGAAAGCATAACATTTATTACGGCAAGTAAGGGTAACGAAAAATAATACAAATTATATGCCAATATTGCCTTGTTGCAATTTACGCGGTCAGTCTATAATTTCTCGTCGACGTTTTCGATCGTCGTTGGAAATTTAATTATACACGAAACTTCGTGGCAGTCAAATAGGAGACTGACAAACATTTCTTACGCTCCGAAGGCACAATTTTCATAGATCAATCAGTCCGCAATGATCAAGTTCACTGACCCTGTAATCTCTACGATTATCGTAACTCGATTATTAATTCACTTTCTAAGGGTTACAAAACGTTGCTTATGTTATTCGTTATTACTGTTTACAAAAGCCACATGCGTGCCAATTGGACATGTCGAAAGTCTCTGTAAGATGAAAACACTGGCGAAAGGTGTTGAACATTATAGTTACAAATACAGCTAGCTAATAAGGCTCATAGAAAGACGCAAAGAAATAAATACATATCCGAAGAGTAATTGTTTCAGAGATGTTCGATCACTTGATTTGTAAATTTTGAAGATTATACGATACCAAGTGCAAAGAAATGTGCTCGATAGTTTTGGAAATACTGTTTTTAAATAATACTTGTCGGGGTGCATTACTTTTTCGTAGCAGGAATCTTATAACATTTTAGAAACGATCAATTTTCGAACATATATTTATTCGAATGCAGTTGCTCTGCTAACCAGTTAAGTTCGTGGCCATAACTCTGAAACACCCTATATAAAAGTCGACGTTAAAAATTCTATCAGGCAGTGCAAAGGTAAGTAAACCTACAGCGACACGCGTAATGTTCAGCGTTACATTACGATGATTCGGTCGCAGGATTAACTATTCACCGAAACGTTACATTTACATTAAAAATATACTTGAATGGTAGCGAGATACTCTCATTCTAATTCCTGTTTCGCTCTAGAACACGAAAGGCAGCATTGTTGCTGATAAAAGTGGTAAGTGCAGAGCCGGGCCTGCAAAACTAAGTTGCAGTTCGATATACTGTCCTTGCAAAGTGCGTTTTCCTCGAGTCCTGAAAACAAAAATCGTAACATGCATCACGCGTTGCTTTTAAGCAACAGTAATTAAAATAATTGCAAAAATACCGTTTGAGATTTCGGGATCGTTCTGAACTTGTAAAACTCTGTGATGATTTTCGGAACCGTGCACGTCCTCCTTGCAAGGATAGTCGTTGCAGGTCCTTCGAGACACAGGTCTGTCTTTTTCCTTGCAATGGAGCTCGTGAGGCTCAGGCGACTGGCCGTCTCTGTTTAAACACCTCACTTCCCTTTTCTGAATCCCTTTTCCGCACGATCGAGAACACTGAAGTTTCAAAATAAGTATCACACGTTGTAGAAAAAGGAAATATTTGTTTTACGTATTTTTCTCGATTTGTTTGAAATTATTGATATGGTTTGGCATTAAACTCCTTGTTGGTCTTCAGATTAAAATTAATTATTCATTGTAACATTATTCGACTATACTTTCTAGGAAATATTGCACAGAAGTGTTTCATTGCTCTAGAGAAACTCTAGAAAACTAAAGAGCTATAATTTTCTTCTTCATCTATTTGTTCGATTTGTCTATGAATTAATTTAATCCTTTGCAGTTCACTATATCAAAAGTCAGTTTAAGATTTATTTGCAACAACATTAAAGGAATGAATAAAATTTAAATCATAAATATTTATAAGTTAGTATGAGAGAAATTGCCTCAGTTGTCAATCAAATCTAAAAACATTCTGAAACTGTGAAGGGTTAGATAAGAAATTCAAATAAAATTTAATGATCCGTCAATCAACTGCAAACTTTAACCTGTTTAATGAATTTTAATATGAAGTTGAACAATCTTATAGTATATACAAATTCATTTCAATTCAGCACCCATGCTTGTCATTAATGAAGTACGACGTATTCAATTAAATTTGTACATATACATCGTATTATACAAATTTTAATTTTAATTTGGCAGTTTTCGAATATTCTAAAGAAAATTGAGTTGGTCAAAGTCAGTGTTAGGAGCAAGCTTGACGTTTCGACCCAAAATTTTTGAGTCGTTCTCAATAACTGCGAATTACATTCCATTAAAAATTAATATTGTAAAATAAAGAAAGAAGAGACAAAAATTCTATCAAGTACAACATAGGTTACAAAATAATTTGTGGCCTCAGTTTTCGAGGACGACTCTACAATTTTTGGTGAAAAAGAGGACAATGTTGCTGTTGAGATTAACTTCGATTAAATGTGCAAACTTGTTTGTTTAAATTACCTCTGTCCAGTCCGATACGAACCACATGGACGTGCACAGTGGACCGTTACAAGGTCTCCTCGTTTCCGGTTTGTTCGCAGGGCAGTTCATATCCAGAGCGACTCGAAGGGCTCCGCGAAGGGTCGTTACGCAGACTACTTCTCTAACCTGTTCTCCTGAATCACATTCCGTTGAACACTGGAGGGAAAAAGAGCAAATGCGTGATATTTATTGCTGAAACTAGTATGGTTTAATCATCCACGACGAGCGCAGGAAAGATTAGAGTAACAGCAATTATAGCGTAGTTATTACATTAATACTAATTTTCGAATATTAAGCTTACACGCGAGAAAATTCATAAGAAATTATTCGACGGCTTGTGGAGCACGCATTAAACAATCGACTGGCCATATGAAAGATTCCAATTTAATTTCCGGTTCAGCGATCCGGCCGGTTTCTTTTTCTTTCTACGATGATATTTTTATTTATGTCATTGAAACGCACCTCGGACCAAGGTCCTGTAAACCACTGTCCGCTGCAGGTCCTGTTACTGGAGCAGGTTCTCGAGGTTTCGGGTCGACTCGATTGCTCGCAAAATTCCTCCTCTGGACTGTTTTCGCAGAAAACCTTTCTTGTTTGCACGCCGGTGCCACATTCGGCCGAGCACTGGAAAGTTATTACAGAACTAGTATGATAAACGACAAAGATTTCCATAAAAGCATTTTTTAAGACTTTCACGTGGGTGTTTACTTTGCCACAGTCGAAATAAAAATGAATTGTACGTCTTACATAAATTTTTTATTTTGATAGAGTTTGAAGAGTTCTTTACTCCTTTAAAGCTTTGTAAATTACCACATTAATTAATATTTTTGCAAATTAAGTAACGTGTACTTTCTGTTGAAAAAAATGATTGGAAACGATAAACATACAGATTTTTAATTTTATATTCTAATCTAGATCTATTTGTTGGAGCAATGGCTGTTATTTGTCTATATATTAATTGTATGGATTAAACAATGGATTCATACGATTACTTGTTGAATATGTTATTAATTTGTTAATTTGTTGAATATATTACATTAGAAATTGATATCTAACCTAACAGTAGCTTATCTAAAATTCATTTTAGTCTTATTTCCTCACTTTTGGTCATTTTTATATCATTTACTGCATTTTTACTTTTGTATTTTATTTTTCAGTAGTTTTTGATTCCTGAGGGAAATTCACGAAATCAAACACGTTCTAGAATGAAATAAACAATCTGATAATATTAAGTAAGTATTAAAAATTAATTTTCTTGGTGACTGAATGTCATAAAGTTTGTTATTCCCAGTGCTTTAAATTTGCAATGAAAAAGTTTCTTCTCAATAATAAATTCTCAAAAAATGATCACATAAAAAGTACACTAGACAAAATTCAAATAGAATTTCTTTTTCTTTTGATTTCTTATTTTATTTATCACGAGAACAGTTATAATAGTTCTCAGAAAATCGTATTCTAAAGTTAATTTTGATTCCCAGCCTATCAAACTCGTTCAAATAGAGTAAAAGGTGTTAAGAAATGTGGGTTTGGAAATCGATAAGTCTTTCACAGGATGAAGTTTTATTTCGTCGCAGCAGGTGTTCGAAGTTACGCCAGTTTCGCTACATGCCTCGATACGTTTGAAGTTAGCACAAGCTCAAGAATGCCAGGTTTTCTCCTTACTTCTTGGCACGAGCAACTGACATAGCAATCACCACCAGAGAAGATATTCGACGCCAACTGTCTCGTAATAAATGTCTTGCAATTTGTAAACCACTGAATTCTAGGCCAATAATTACCAGCACTTTTTTCCCCCATTCTAATGACTATTACGCGCATTTTTCACCGTGCGCGAGTTTGAATGGGAAAAACGAATGATAATGTTCAGTTCAGAAACACTTCAGTGTGAAAATACTTGAAAAGACAAAATATATATTATCTAGTTAATATTATACAGGGTGTTCGGCCATCCTTGGAAAAAATTTTAATAGGAGATTTTAGAGGTCAAAATAAGATAGAGAACGATTTGAAATTGTTTAATTTTGACGAAAAATCTGACCACCTTCCTGAATTTTTATCTCGAAAATGGTTACGATTTCGGATGTATGTGTATTCACCAAAAATGATTGCAATTGACCCCCGCAACTGAAAACAATTTTTCCAGAACGATTTGAAATTTTTTTTTTCGCCAAAAAATTTAGGTACCTACTCGAATTTTTTTCTCGAAAGTGCGTAGGAATTCGGGGGTATGTCTATTCACCAAAAATAATTGTAATTGACCCCCGCAACCGAAAGTAATTTTTCCGTGAATGATTTGAAACTTTTTAATTTAATTTTTTAATAACTTTTTAACGAATCAATAAATTGATATTCTTGAATTTTTGCCTTATTTTGGCCTCTAGAATCTCCCATAAAATTTTTTCCAGGCGTGGCCGAACACCCTGTATATTTTGTTGATCGAATCATTACAAACATTTCATAATTAAAATATAAAAAAATACATATGATTATGAGTTAATTAGTTGTATATTCGTTGTACATTCAATTCTATTTCGTGCACCGTATACGCTCCAACGGAAATGGTAGAAAATAAATATTATTAGCGTAAGTTTCCACAGCAGGTAGCCTGACCTATCCTTGTTTACCTGACGAGGCTTCAATGTTATCGAGTAGGAATAATGGGGAAGGGATTTTGGGTCTACACTCGAGGTGATTACGCTGCCAAGCACGCAGTTCTCGAAAAGTCGCGTCGGTGATACTACTGTAAAGTCGTCTAGAGTTTTGTGAAATTATTAGTCGCCAGAGTTACTGTTCTGTATTTAGAATAAAAGATTCCTCAGGAGTGAGTGTTCGTCAATCCCTGACAAAACAAGGTATACAAAAGAAGATATTTTCGAAATCGTATAAGGTATGTCAATATATAACTATTTAATTACTTTCAATTATTTTCATCGTCTCGTCAAGAGCGTTAATAATGGCCACGATTTCAGGCCCAAGTTATTTCATTTTAGTCAATTCATAGAAAGAGGTTTAAAACGTAGATTATATAAAATCAAACATTATTTTAACTAAGTTTCAGAGTCATTAATGAAGTAATGATTTCAGAAATCTTAATGGACCCTGTGAGATCATCTAAGGATTAGGGACACTCGTGCCCTTAAATTATCTTTTCGAAATAATTGTAACATTTTGCCACGAGTTCAGCTTAACTGAAGCTTACCGATATAACATTTTATTAAATAGATCAGTGTAAGGTGCAGGTATTAATTAAATACGAAATTGATTTACCCCTCTGGACCATTCGGTGTACAACCACTGAGGACTTTGGAGTCTCGTCGAGAGAGCGTTTGCTAATGGTGGTTTGCTCAAACAAGGTCCCAGGTCACAAGCTTCCTGTGTTGTAGGCTTCTGTTCGAGGTCACAAGGAGAAGTTTGCGGGACACAGGTTACCGATCTGGTCCTTTTACCTGGACCACAAGTCGTGGAACACTTTAACGCGAAAAGAAAATAATTAAATTCTGTGCAATTATTAATATACCATATTGTGGGGATAGCCTGATTGTAACAGAACATTCTCATCCTCTATCATTTTTTTTATCAAGAAGAAATGACTGGATCTATATAAAAATTAGCAGATAGCTATGTTAATGTAATTTAATTTCACTCTGATCCAAGTATTTTTTCATACAAGAAAAATAATTGTAAATAGCCCACAATTTTCAATCCAATATTCCAGATCACAACTTTAAAATGTAATATTATATTATTAGAATAGTCTGGCATCATTAACAGAAAATTAGCAGATTCATAGCTATGTTAACATAATTCAATTTCATTCTGACCCAAGTATTTTTTCATAGAAGAAACAAAAAAATGACAAATAGCTCACAATTCTCAGTTCAATATTCCTTCATAACACCTTTAAAATATAATATTATATGATAGAGATAGCCTGATACCCTCAACAGAAAATTGTCGTCCTTTACCATTTTTTTGTTCTAATAAGAAGGAATAATTGCATCGAAACAAAAATTAATAAATATAGTAAATACATAGCTATGTTAATGCAATTTAATTTCATTCTGATCCAAGTATTTTTTCATAGAAGAAACAAAAAAATGACAAATAGCTCACAATTCTCAGTTCAATATTCCTTCATTACACCTTTAAAATATAATATTATATGATAGAGATAGCCTGGTACCCTCAACAGAAAATTGTCGTCCTTTACCATTTTTTTGTTTTAAAAAGAAGGAATAATTGCATCGAAACAAAAATTAATAAATATAGTAAATACATAGCTATGTTAATGCAATTTAATTTCATTTTGATCCAAGTATTTTTTCATAGAAGAAACAAAATTATAAATGGCCCACAATTTTCAGTTCAATATTCCAGCCAGTTTAATTGTGATATTGAAACTTTATTTGTTAGCAAGTGCTTCTCGTAATTCGTGGTATCTAACCCTCGAGCTACCGGTTAAGTGAATTATTGCTTTGAAAGACATTCGATAGAAATACACGCGCGTAGTGGGTAATAAAGTAAGCAAAGTACCAAAGACCATGTGCCCACGTTCCATTGTAGAGGCGTTAACGGTGCCGGCGTTATTTTCGCGTCGTATTCGCACGCTGGCATATCGCAAACCTCCGTTGTTGGTAGGATTTTCGGTTCCATGCAGGCGCCATCAGCTATTCTCATTATTAGAGACGGTTTTATTTCTTGTACGCATTCTAATTCCCTGACGAGGGTTCCGGTACCGCAAGTAACAGAACACTCGCTCCAAGGACCGCCTCTCCATCTTTGTAAAATCGAATGGTTTACGAGATTAATTTATTGACACAGAATTCCTTCCTCTACAAAATCAGAAACGTCCCAAGATTAATTCCATTATTATCATCCGTTACACAATCAATACTGTTTTAGGTTAGGCACATTTTGAATGTGCAAACAATTCTGTAAAAATTTATGGAAATACCATAAAATGGGTACTTCAAGGTTATAACACACGAATGTTAAAGAGAATTGAGAAACCTTTTTATCTCAAATGTCGAGGAAAGACATTAACCACATTTAAAAAAAATTACATTTACTGGAGGAAATGAATATAATATTATTCTTAAACTTTCACTTTCCTTTCAATTCGTTGAGATAGAAATATCGTATAAAATTCATAAGATACGGTAATAAAAGAATGTTAAGTGAGGTTATACTTACTTGGGTGGACATGGTGTAGTATTACATCGTATTTGAATTTCTCGTGGCTTTTCCAACGCGTGGCATCTTTTCTCAGGTACCTGTGTCTGTGTGTGTTCTCTTATACATACGTATTTCAGCATCTGGAAACCTTTTTTCGAAGAGAAATAAAGTCCACTCAATTTCCACGTTCTAAGCGAAATTACTTAAAACGACGATCTTCCAGAATTTTTTTTAGAAAACGAGTCAATCTTTTCGAAAATCTTAAATGCAATTTTATTCCCATATATTTAGAAGACGTTTTACAATTTTTCTTTTTTTTTTTCAAAATAAAAATATAGTACTCTAGCAAGCCTCTACGGTTCCACGAACAAAAAGAAAGTGACAAAATGGCTATCGATCAAAGAAAAAATTAAGATAAACGCGTACAAAATGGTCTTAACATTCTCGAAAAGTAGAGTAACTTTTAATTTCATAATTTTAGAGTGCATTTAATTCTTACCTCCGCCACAGGACCTGCTGCACTCGGTGTAGCCGCTCGATTTCCAAAAGAATTTTCGTTTCTTATAACGTTTTGGAACGTACGACGGTTGAGTTCCATCGATGATTGTGGGGCCATTATCTATTCTAAAAGATAATGAGCTCATTTTAATCACGTGCTTTGTATATACAGAGGTTTGAAAATTTTTGTTACGATATTAAATATTCAAATATACCTCCTGTGAGCTATATTCGGTGAAACAGGCTCGGTTTTACTGGCAACTGAAATTGAAATTACAAACCCCTTATTCTAATGTTGTTTGCTTTCGTGTACATGCAAGATTTGCAAGCAATAATACAAAATTGTTGAATAATTTAGTTAATCATTCATCGTTTCGATCATTAAATTATAGACAAATAAAAAACATGGTCAATTCAACACATTTTGTTCTTGAACACTAACCAAACGTTTTAAATTAAAATTTAACGAGTTTGATGATTGATTACATGACTGAATGAAAATGAAATTCCTTTTCAAATGTACACTATTTAATTTAGTGTGATTTTTATACAAAAGGAAAGGAGGAAATTGAGAAAAGAAAAGAAGAAAATGGTCAGTAGAAATAGCTACTTTATTCGAAAATATTATATTGAAATGCCAAAGAATCGAGGATTAAAAATGAATGTCTATGATCATTACTGCCAATTATGCAAAAGATTTATAGACTTAATTTAAAGATATTTTTATATTTCAATGAAATATTTATTACTACCTGTTTTATGTCCAAAATGAGGGTTCGTCGGGACGTTTACATTTCCGGGGATGATATATCGATACACAATACCTGGATTCGGTTCTTGATACAAAACCTGATTGGAAAAAACATCGGTATTACGTTATACATAATTCTTGACTTTATAATATGCCAGGTGCACTGAACGATTTCATATATTCCGTCTGTAATAATAAATTATTTACCATTACATCGACCGGTTCTTGCAATGGTCCAGTAGCGGAGAAACTTTCCAAGTTTTGTGAGCCTTGACGAAGGTAAACAAAAGTGGCTCCAGCCGCTTGATATTTACCGGACAAATTAATACTGTAATTTCCGTTGAATAAATAGGTACCATCCTGTAATTTGATCGCTGAAAAAATTCACACACGGTTAAGATGATTTACGGATTCAATTAAACTAAAACTTAACGGGTTTAACGATTAATTAAACAACCGACTCGCAATGAAATTATATCATTATTTGAAAAATACCGTTTCTGTAGTTAAGGGGCCTTTCTACCTTGTGGGATTAAAAAAATCGATATTTTTTTTTTTGCATTTTCCTTTAGTATGTAGTCTCGAAAATATGTCTACCAAATATTAAATTGAAATTCGGAAAACTAACGAAGTTATAGCCTGTTGAAATGTACCGCGCGCAGGTATAACAACTGGACATGAAACTTTAAAGCTGTTTTTCTCGAAACTACATTTTTCGGCACTGCGTGCGTGATAACTAAAAAACTATTCAAGATATCAACATCAAATTTATACAGTATCTTCAGAACTGGTCTCCCTATAGCATGAACTAGGATAATTGCGATATATGCAATACTTTTTCTTTTATTAACAAAAAAGCAACCAAATATATGAAAATATTCAGTATTTTTTCGTAAAATAGCTGCCATTTTGCCATTTTTTGTTTTTTTGAAAAGATCCTAGTTCATGCTATAACCACACTCATATATATTAAGAATATCGTTGGTTTTAGGATTTCGAATAACTTGTTCGCAAGGTATCACGTACGCAGTCGGGTGCCGTTCGTAAAAACTGTTGTTTGATGATCAACAAAAACAGCGTAATCAATAGATATTATGCGTTGCAAAAATTCGTAAATATAGCTAAATATATAATAAATGTATCTACAAAATCCGGAATTAATCGCTCTTTAATAACCCGCAAAAAAAAATCACAAAGAAACACGTATTTTTCATGCCTACAAGGTAGAATGGCCCCTTAATTTCTCAATAAAGAAGCTTGACTTAAAATTTAAGTTGGCTTGCGATTGACAACGTATGTGATGTAATTTTGTTTAATTAACCATTGAAAACGATCAGAATACAAAAATTGTTTTTAAAGCCTATTGAAATTCGTAGAATATTTTTAACGTAAACGACTCAATTTCTTTTAAAACGAATGTGAAATCGCAATATTTACCATTCGTAAAGAAATTTAATTTCATGGTGTGTTTTCTAGTAGCAGAAATGACACGTTTATAAGGTCGTAGATTAAAAAAGATCGGTATTAACATATTCGATCGTGCGTCCAGCTAATTATTTCGCACTCCGTGTCACGAGTTGAGAAGTATATCGCATAATCATTCGTGTAATGAAACGGAGAGTCATTCGCGGCGATTCAATACGGGAATTGCTGATTCTGTCAGTGCAATGTACGCGATACGATACATTAGAAATATAGACGAGTCATTTAGTGAGTGACGTACACATAGATTAACCGCTTTGAGCCTTTCGACTTTCTTCAATCGTAGTTTAACGATACATACGATTGATATTTGCGGTTATTACGAACTCCTGTTCGAAGAAAACATTTTAACACACTATTCCGTTTCAATTTGTCGAACAAAAACAGAAATCCGTGGAATGAAAGTTGTAGTATACTTTTTCTTTCTAAGCATCAACGAGGGTATAATTTATATTCTTTTTTTACAATAAATAATTATAAACCCCAACAATTTTTCTGCTTTCTCTCTTCATCATTTCCAAGAAATATTTATAGTTAAATAATTGGAAATTTCGTATACAAGCAGATTTTTATTTTTTAATTATTTATTCAGTGTCATAAAACAGGAATGAGAGGACTGTGAATATTTATAAACTCAGTTATTATTCGTAACTCATTACGAAATAGTCAAAGCTACATTATAAAATAAATTATCTTTGACTTTCCTCTTAAAAAACTAAATAAAATTAAAAAACGTTATTGTTTTGAAGCCTGTTCAAATTTATCTACAAACATGAATGTTCTAACGAACCAGCATGATATCACACCGTTAGAAATCAACGTACAAGCATGTTTCGTTCCGTTAATGTTGCTTTATTCTTACGAATCTCGACTTCTAACATAAATTTAGTGGTTCAATTTACATATGCAACACAACTTTAAGGACCGGCTAATAAAACGTCTCGGCCCACTGCGAATTCAATACAGAATAGCGAAATCAGTGTCAAGATTTCGTATTAACGCTGTAATTGATCACATCGGTAAAACCTTTGAATCGCGTCGCATTATTTCACACCTACCTGGTCGTTCCTTTGAGATCTAAAGAATAGCTACACATCGGAAACACGTTACGTTAATCTTCTTAGCGATCTACGACACGTCGATTCAGACGACGTAAAATTCCGATCGCGATCGTTTAGCGAGGAATTATGTTTTACAAGGGTCTCTATGCATTATGCAGTTTATGACTGTTCGATTTATGCGATCCGCGTTAGATAGGGCGCAGGGAACGACGCAATTTGTGCTCGTAATAAGAAATATTCATTTTCGAAAGTCATTCGATAATAACAAAGTAACGCATTAAGAGGCAAAAATCGAATATAGAATCTAGCACACGTCGATACCTAGAATTACTAGCATAAATGTCTCCTTTGCATTTGAATGCATGGCGAAGTTACAACGATAGGTGATCAATTTCATTTTTTTAAAATTAGGTATTGATTATGAGAGCGAATAAATTTAATAGCTCTTTTAATCGATTCCAACGAGAATTTCCATTTTAGATATATTTAGTCACAACATTTTCCATCTTCGTTTCTTCACAGGGGTACAAAAGTTATTCCTTAATTAAAACCATTTTCTGAAGAAGCAAATTTCATTTTGTTTGAACGATCGAAGTCGTTTTTTAAACTGGTTTCCATTTTTTCATTCATTGAGATATTTAAGGGTTCATGTTTGGATAAATTAGAAAGAAATTTTGTCAAGACCAGGTTAAGATGGGTAATCGGTTGGGGGGAAATCACGTATTTGTTGATTTTATGTTGTTTATGCGTCCCTATCGGGTTTTTAAATGGGGCATCACTTGCCTGTCAATATTAAAAACAATAAAAAAAGAACTGAATATAAGACAAACTAAGTTTCTGTTCATTTATAGTAAATCACCATTGTAGTGTATGAGTACGAGTGGGGAAGTAGCTTCTAGGTGTGTACATGTAAAATGATGTGACTATAGTTTTATAATATGTACAATTAATTGTAAATTTATCCATAACGAAAATCGAGGAATGTGACTGGGATTTCCAATATCTGAGTTAACACTTCTTACAAAAGTTTCGAATATCCATTACATCGAAGTACCATTTCCAAGCTTTACTCGTTCCAGAGTATAGAATCAACATACTTTAAATATTAACTCAGTCTAAATAAACTCAGTTTCGCAAGCATACGTTGAACTTGATCTCTGGGAAGGAACGCGTATTCAAATCGTTAATCCGAAAAATGGAGGAGAATAACGAAGTCGGTCGATGTCGTAAATCGAATCCCCTGACGCAATCTCGAACGTAACGCGTCAGAAACTATCGATGAATCGGTGAAACCAGATGCTGGGGAGTGTAAGTGCAGTGTATGATGTGCCTATCAATAGCAGCAGCACTTCATTTACAAGAGACAGCGTGTCACGTCCCATTTAGCACGCAACAGGAGATTAGATTATACGAGGGTTGACGCCGGGAGCACGACGACGACGCGACCGTACAGATTCCGACGATAGGAGATCTAGCATTGATAATAAAGAGGAATCGCAAACAGTCGCAGCTGATTGCCCACAATCGCGAACAATCACGGCGACGATTTGCTTACTGGCACAGTTCATTAAAATCAGTTTGTCGTACGCGAACGGGATTCCGCGTATCAGCTTTATTCAATATTCCAGGCAACCTTCGTCCGTTCTCATTTCTCTTCATTCGTTATGCGCTCGTTTCTGTTCCGCTTTATCGCCTCCTGGCACTTTCACGCTTTTGTCACCGAACGTGTTTGTTTCATAAATCTGGATTACTCGTCCATTTTCGTCAGGCGATCGGCGATGCTCGTTCGAATATTTTCTAAATGCATTAAGTCGGGGAAAACTCCATTACTTTCACGTTTCTTTCAAGATATTAACATGGTTCAGATTGTGCGACTTGGGTCAAATGTGTATCGGTTTATTTTATAATTTCTCGCCATTCGATTTCGTTCCGTTTGGCTTTCCAGAATTCGATCGAACAATTCGCTTGACAGCTTTATACAAATGGTTTAAAACTGTTTTCTGGTCAATATTTAGCTCTTGATCATTTCGACATTTGCTATGACAGTATCGGGACCAACACCGTTTACAATTTCAGCCACCTGGCTTGCATTTTCGCCTTTATCGAAGCAAAATTGCCTTTATCGAATTTTCTGTTTGTTAACTTCCATCTTTTACACCCTGTAACTCACAACTGAATCAATTCACCAAAAAACTGTGAAAGAATTTTTTTTAGTACGGAATGTCACTTTTCCAAGGACCACAATATATTACCACAGACATCTGAGTGAAAAATAATGGATTTTTTCCCCCAACCTAACATATTGTTCGACGTTCTTACCCAAAAAATTTTCCGTGTGACGCAATTGCGTCACGTTTAAAGCGACAGCTCCTCTTGGTACCGTGGCTACCAGATTGTAACCCCGTTCCAAGGTCGGTTCCGTGAAGATCCCATCGATCAGATGCCCGTTGCAACTTGAGAGACACTGCAATCATAATTACGTGGCAATCAATTCATTATACATGAGTTTACGGAATTTTTCTTCGAATGGAAATAGGCTTAATGGGAGGTCGGGTCGTTTCTCGAATTTTGCATGAATTATAGTGCTCTGCGCTGCTTAAAGAGGAGGATTAGCTACAGAAGGCACTTTATTGATCGGTTAGTTATTCGATACCTTAAGATGCAAACACGGTATATAAATTAGACATTCGGTAAAAATATTACTGTGCTGAATACACCATATGTGTCTATGGTATTCGTGGGAGCGGGAAAGAGCGATGCTCGATTAAGGAGAATGCGGACAGTGTTTGACCAGACTTATCGACGACTTTTCTTTCCAGCTGTCTGGAATACTTGTAATATTGTTGGCCTTTTTTGCGGTAATTAACTGTTACCCGTAGTAAATCAAACGCCGCTTATTAACGGAATGATTTATGGTCGGTCTAGTCGTGTATCATTTATCAGCATAATACCAGCTTTTAGAACAAAACTCATGAATTTTTCTCTTATTGCTAGTGAATGAAAACAATTGTACAAAATTCATAAAGCGTTCTCTGTATATTTATTCTGCTTTAAACTTCTTGAATAATGTTAATTAAAGAGAAATGGTTCAAACACTTACATTTACCCTCAAGTATCTGTTAAAAAATGCTCGTATAATTCTAGTAAAAAATAATTGTTAAAACTGAATTTTTACAACCAATTTAAAGCGTTACTGCAGAGGATTGACTTAAAATAAAAAAGAAATGATTTAAAAGTTAGAAGTGGACGATGAAATTTTATTGATAAAAGTTAACAGTTTACATCTTGCAATTGTCACGTTATAAAAATGATCGAGAAGCGTTGAAAAGATAGTCTTTTCGGGAAGTAGAAGCGACGCGAAAGCAATGACGCGTTTAGGCGTGAACGAGGTAGCAATCAGAACGTGGTAACAGAAATAATGGAAAGCGTTACGCTTGTTTTGTCGAGCACAGTGCTTGAGTTACAGTGCATTGGTATCCGTGATAAGTATCTTTGACCTTTTTTGCCGGATGGGGCACGTACCATGTTGCTGAATATGGTAGGTTGTTACGCGAAAAAAAAATATAAGCTACCGTGCAGTTTCGCTGTCTGTAAAGTTTCCACGCCGTTGTTCCGCTCGTTTCGTCTGAAATGATTTTTGTGAACTCTCTAGAGTAAAACTAAAGGTTAAAAGAAGTGAAAACAGTTTCTTACAAAATTGTGTATTTGTGAAGAAATGAAGAACGTGTCAAATAAATTAAAATTCATGAAAATAATAGGGACAAATATTTTAGAAAATGCAATAATTTAATTCTCATCCAAGTCGTAAAATAAATATAATTTGCTGATGGTATATTATGGAAAAGAAATAGTATCACAAAATAAAGAAATCGGTTGCTGTTTGATTGAAAATTTGCTTCTTTACGACATAGAACAGTGTTTTGTAATCATTTTTAATTCTCATAGAATTATTTCTTAAAATAACGTTTTTAAATATTAATTAAGATAATGGTTTTCTATTAATATTCCAGTGAATTTCTCCTGAAAAATTGAATAGTTTGAAAAATTTCCATTCTATAAAAAGAACATATAAGATACGAATTATTATATTTAGGGGTTGTAAGTTCTACAAAGCTCCTATTTCATTAATTCTATTAATAAAACTATGACTTTGCATAAAGATCCTCCTTGCACAAAGAAGATTTATTATACTCCAATAGCTGTCGTAATTTGAAAATATTGAAAAAGTAAAATTAAAAATTAATTAAATTAAATTCTCTTTTCACAGTTCATTAATTAAAAATTGTAACACTAAGGCTTCTCCATAACGTCAACAATGGTGTTTTGACAATGTTCGAATCTTAATCTTCCCCTAGTCGCGCATAGGTCCGACAAATCCATCATTTTAGTTTTAGTTGACATCTTGCCAACAGATGGGACCACGGTACCACAGGTTTAGAATCGAATCATAGTGTTATTCCGAAATACTAGCAAGCTTATTCTAATGAAGACTCCAAACGTGACAATTTCACGGATTATGTTTCTCATTTAAGATCGTTAGATCTTGCGTGACAAGGTAAATGCCCGTGCAGCAAAGCAAATATTTTCTACATTTACCCACAAAATAGACCCGTGCTACTATACAATCTAAATTGTTTCGTACTTCAAATATGGGGACGCAGGAACCCCAATGCTTTCAGCTTCTGATATTCTTGATTTTCCGGAAATGACAGAAAAAGAATTAAAAATTCCATTTCTTGGTTATCCTAAGAATTGATGCACCTCTAAATAAAATGTTTACGATGCAAGTTATCGATATACGTATAAACTGTCCCTTGTTTCCCACTTGTAAACACAAAAATAAAACGTTAAAAAATGGATCTATCGTACTCGATGCGTTCAACATCCGCCCTCGCGTAACGGAAGAATCATCTCGATTTATTTCTTCGGCTGAACGCTCTCGATAGAAAATACAAGCGAGAGCTATCGAGCATTCCGACAAGAGCGTAGACCTCTTCTGTTTACCCGTGCATCCCGAGCACAATTCGCCTATCACTGTCCAAGTTCCATTTGCCCCGCGCGTTCGTAAACGCTATTTCCAGAGGGATAATTAGTCAAAACAGAAGTGCTGTTTGCACACGTGGCTACTTAACGGCGTTCATTGAATCAACTAGATTCGGAATGGACGTTCGCGACGCGGAATTAGTAAGTCACAACACGCAAGCCCGTGACACGTGTTCGTGAAATTATGGCCGTCGCCGCATAAATTTAGCCACGTCGGCTCCGCGGACGTCTGCGGATCCACGGCTGGACTCTGTCGTCCCGTCTCCGAATCGCGACGGCCCACGAAGTGCACCGGGAATCGAGGACCGCTACGTGGGCGATCCTGGAAGTCGATGGAACCGATCGAGGGACCGCTCGTTTGGCCATCGACAGCACTTCGACGTGGAATTTGGTACGTGTGTCGTTCGAGGACCAAGCTGTATCGCATCCGCGTATTGACGCGGAATAATAACCCGATATTAATGACACGGTCGCGACAGTGCTGGTAGTTCAATAAGTCTTTAGAAAAAGATAGAGAAACAAATTACATTAGGTTGATTTTTTTTTATTTTTTGAAACGTTTCTCCAACTTTTTTAAGCTATATGAAAAGTAAGATTTTGGAATGTCCTCAAAATCTGTTTGGGCGATGACCTCCTCGTCCTGAACTATTTGCCCCCCGACCATTTTTTTAAGTTTGGAAATAAAAAGAAGTCACCAAAGGGGCCAAATCCGGTGAATACGGTGGATGTCGTAATAATTTGACCTTTAATTCCACGATTTTGGCCATGGAAACTGCGCAGGTGTGCACCCTTGCATTGTCATGATGCAAGAGGAAGTTGCTTGCTTCGATCGACAATAAAAATGAAACCATGTGGTGGATATAACTGAGACATTGACAGCTGTCTAGTGAGTCACGATGCTTACTAAAAACAAACCATTTTCTAAGGACTTATTGAACGACCCTCGTATTAATGTTCCAGCCACGGCGCCGTTATTCATGACTCCGGATCGCTAACGAAACGGAAAATCGGTAATTCCTGGGAAAGAATGCTTTGTCTCGTCGACGAGCGTTGATTTATATGCACGGGTAAATTGTCAATCTATAAACAACGTTACGAAAGATGGCGAAGGATCGCGGCGTCGCGAGGGACGAGGGCGCCTCTTATTCACGCGCTCGATGAAGCTGAAGAAGATTAAGACGATAAGAAATTGTACGTTGCGTACAATGCGTAGTTCTCTACGTGGGTTAGTGTTACATGGGCGTGGAATCGGTATATGGGACGCGAAAGAAGCGTATAAATTACAAGGGAAGACCACATGGCCGCGTAGCGAGCGAGTGCTTTGATGGTGATTCAGGTCGGATCTGGAACTTCGTATCTATTACTACCGTTTGATTGGGTGATTAATCACTGATGGATTTCTTGAATGCTCTATTCTATTTCGGTATCGTAGTTTCGCAACTCGAGGATGCATCACGGTCACCGAAACGTCGAGAATCTTCGTTGGTGACTGCGGAAACTGTTGATCGATTTATCGAGATCGATCGTGTAATTAATTAACTAATTGGTATCGTTAACATCGTATCAATTTTAATGTTATGGTTACGCTGTAACCAGTTATTATCGGTGACGAGGGATTAATGGACGGTGCTTTTTCAAAGACTTTCCGCTTGTTTCGTTTCGTTTAAATTGTTTTGCGAGAACAAGAGTCCCGGTCTGACCGGAGGAACACGTGGATCGTGCAAATGGATTCTATCATCTCTTTCAACTTCCGTTTAGTCTGTAGTGATGTACGAGGTCTTGCGTTATCTTGTTGGTAGATGACCCCTTTTCGATTAGCTAAAACTGTACGTTTCTCTCGGGCTCCTCTGCAATCCGTTCGAACGATATCAGCGAATTTGTCACTGGGAAATTGTATAATGGATTATTGCCAAGTATATTTCAAAGATTCCGGGTTGTTTGATGAATCAGATATAACTATTAATTGGAGACGTGAATTTGCTTCTCTTTGTGCGATGAATTATGTCAAGCGTCTTAGGAAAGCTTTCAAATAATATGGAAAGTAACAACGTTGTATTTGTGCATTTAATAATTAACTACCACAATAATAATAATTCCTTCATAAAGCTATTAATAAACTTTAGGTATTATTTAAAGCCTGAAGAAGTACTCGAAGATTTGGAGCACCAATCGATCTTTTACTAAAAATATAATACTAACATTATTAACCCCTTGACGTACGATTTAATTCCAAATAATTTTTCAAGCGTATACTCTTTAATTTTGTTTAAATTTGTTTTTACAAGGAATGACCACGAAAGAGATTTATTTTATGATTACTTCATTATTGTAAAAAAGTGTTGATTTTAATATACAAGACTTGATGACAAGTGAGTAGCCTTATGATTGTGAAACTAGTAACGAGTCAGACTCGTCATTGTA